AGAACTTCAATGACGTCTCAGAGGTGAAAGATCTAGGGCAGAGCCACTGCTACTCATCTGCCCCCTGCAAATTCTCTGCTCTGAGAGCAGAGAAAAAGCTGTTGCTATAGAAACCAGTGGGGAAAATGTACATTATGTCACATTTTATATATTTTTCCAAGGAGACCCTTTAATCTGAGCCTGCCACCATGTATTTTTACAGAAACAATAATGCTAATAAAACCCCTAAACATAATAGTGATTTCAAATCAAGTCAAATAATCATCACTTACTTCAAAAACACCTCTGCCTGTAACCTTCTGCCCTAGCCAAGACACTGGAATAGGGCTAGCAAGGCAGCCCACAGTATGGTACATGACAGGAGGGTAAATCTAAGACAGCAAAAGGTATGATGAGAGGTGGTGGGGTGGGTCCTACACAGCGGTAAGTGGCAGTTAACATTTGAGGAAGGATAAAATGTCTTCAGATTTGACTTGTGTGTAGAGAAGGATGAAATAAGGGTAAAAGGTACATTTTGTGGCATGCACTCTAGCCTACCTTTTCTCTTCTTTACCCACCCAACCTCCTGTTGTTATCCTACCTTTGTAAGCCCCCTTCTGAGGCTCTTTTCTCTTCTGCTGCCCTTTTAAAAATTATCCCACCATTTCCTACTTGCCTTTGTGATAATAACAAGCCCTTTGGCCTCCCAGACAATCAGACCTATTGCACCCTGGGGTCTCAAGGAGACAATGCTCTTTGTAAGGCTGCACCATGAAAGCCTCTCTCTAGCATCAGGCTGGCCTGGTGGAAGCAGTCCTCCTGGGGATCCTTCACAACAGAAGCCTAATTTAGTCCTCTGGATGTCAAAACAGGCTTTCGCTCTGCCCTTCCCACCCTCAATTTATTTTTTACTTAATTCACCATGACCATTATTTCCTTCCTGATTTGTGCTGACCCTGTGGCTTAATTAGATTTTTGTCATTATTTATAGGAGCTCCTATAATGTGTTGACTTGTAATTTCTTCAGGACAAGGACTTTCTTGCTGTATAGTGCAATGTGCGAAATAAATCTCAACCCTGTCTTGTTCCAGGGCTGTGATTGATCCTAAGCCAGGTATATGCCCCTGCTTGTTGTCCTGGAAGTAAGTACACAAAAAACTTCAGTGAGGCTTTGTATCACTAATGCTAAGTTTTATATACTGCAGATAAGGTAGCTGTTGGAATAAAACAACTTAGTTACACTAGGTAAGACCAAGTAAGGGTATGCCTGCTCACAGCACCTTTGCTGGACTGATCCCTTTCTCCAGACCTGCCCTCAGTACAGTGCATTTTCATGATTTCTTTCTTGGGTTACGGTAAGTTCTGTGCAGATCCCCTGAATCTCAAGGCGGGGCGGGGGGGAAGTTGTTTGTCTTTCCACTGCCTGAGGCCTGACTGTAGGTCTGCTCTTTGCTCCTTTCAGAGTCTCGCTGTTTCTGCACACACGTAATAGTTTCCCATAAAGCCCATCCCTACTCTGCCTTACAGCCAGACACATTCAGCAGTTAGCAGGGAAGAAACAATTCCCCTTTCCTCTTCCTGTCTTACCTTATGCCCCCTGTGCTCTCTGTTTTCCAGTCCCAGCCCTTTTCACAGACCATAATGGCTGCTAACTGTGAATAAACAACTGAGACACATACTGGCTGTTTTAGGGGCTGTAAGCACTTCTAGAGCCCAAATAATATATGAATATTAATAGAATGACTGTAACAATATAATAAAAGCAAAAAAATAAATGTCCTCAGGAGCATGATAATCTAACTTCAAAAGCAATTCCCATCAGTAACAAAATGCAGAGAGAAGACTAGGATTACTTTAATAAGATTACCTGCTTATTGCCATTTGTTTCTGTGGGTGACTGTAATTCTGCTTCACCTTCACTCCCAGCCAGTTTCTCAGATATGCTTTTCACTCAGAGCATTGGCAGGCCAAGCTGGACTGTGAAGCTGTGGCTCACTGGCATTCTTGTGGGATCCAGCTTATCTCTGTGAGGACCTGATCCTTGGTCTTCAGCCCCACCAGCTGACACACAGCTTGTGTCCTTGCTGTCACTGCAATGTTGTTTTTTCATGCCCCATGGCTTCATATCCATGGTGGAAAAGGCAGGAATGGGATGACATGGAAGGATGAGAAAAGCTGGTGTCTTTGTGGAGGTGGAAGAACAGTAGGGAAAATAATTGTAAGGTCAGTGTTGTAAGACAGAGAAAGAGACTTAACTATGGAAGCTCTTTAAAAATTCAGCTTTATCTGGCAGGCAAGGGAAGGTGGACATAAGCTCAGTAATGCAGCACATCATGGGCTTTAGTGCAAGAATTTCTCCTCTAGCTTCCTGGAGCTCCTTAATTCAACCAATGCCCTTCTCACTGCATCTTCAACAACTCCCATGTCCCTGTGGCATATGACTCCCAGTACATTCAGTAGTCATGCACTTGGGTGGAGAGTCTGCAGGGAGGTAGGCATATGCCAACTGTATCCTGGCCTGCATCAAAAGCAGCATGACCAGCAGCTCGAGGGAGGTTATTCTGCCCTCTACTCAGCTCTTGTGAGACCCCACCTGGAGTACTGCATCCAGCTCTGGGGTCCCCGGTACAAGAAAGACATGGAGCTGTTGGAGTGAGTCCAGAGGAGGGCCACAAAGATGATCAGAGGGCTGGAGCACCTCTCCTGTGAAGACAGGCTGAGACAGTTGGAGTTGTTAAAGCCTGGAGAGGAAGCTCCAGGGAGACCTTATTGCGGCCTTCCAGTACCTAAAAGGGGCCTACAAAAAATCTGGAGAGGGACTGTTTACAAGGGCATGTAGTGATAGGACAAGGGGTAATGGCTTTAAACTAAAAGTGGGTAGATTTAGATTAGATATAAGGAAGAAATTCTTTACTGTGAGTGTGGTGAGACACTGAAACCAGTTCCCCAGAGAGGTTGTGGATGCCCCCTCCCTGGAAGTGTTTAAGGTCAGGTTGGACAGAGCTTTGGGCAACCCGTTCTAGTGAAAGGTGTCCCTGCCCATGGCAGGGGGGTTGGAACTAGGTGATCTTTGAGGTCCCTTCCAACCCAAACCGTTCTATGATTCTATGATTCTGTGTGCTCAGGGGGACCAAGACTCATATGATTGAGAGGTACAGATGGTGAGATGGAGAGACTACTGAGAGGAACAGCATGTCTCTGCAGAAACCACATTAAATTGCACCAGGGATGAGCGCACCAGCTCTGTGTGTGAAGGAGAGAGTGGTTATTTTCTCATGTTGGAGGCAGCATAAGTAAGAGTAGCTGTCTGCTTCTGTTTGTGAGGATATCTGTACATATAAGTTGATGTTCAGATAGACAGATAGATAGAAATATGTAGGTATAGACACAGTTCTGTTCCAAACAGAGAAAAGTGTAGCCCCTGGTGTCTGGAGGACATAAAAGGCTCTGCCAGAACTTACTGGAGATCTCATCAGGGCTTTCAACCCACAACTCGCTTGCCTAGATGAACCTGCACAACAGAAAAATATGACCTTCTTCATTATTCTTGGACAAAGTAAAAAAGGAACAGGACACAGCTAATAAATAAAACAGGTTTAATCATAAACCATGTATATATTTATGGGTAGGGAGGGGGGCATGGTCTGAAAGGTGCTGCCCTGGCAACAGGAATAAAAGAACAGTGTATTTTACCAATCAATATACAGTACCAATGAAGGGTGGAGCTGATAAATGAATATGGGATTTTGAGTCCCAGAGGCTAATTTTTACAGACAACCATCATTCTTAGTTTCCTGTCAAATTATAGCATGAACTAGCTCACAGCTCTGCCCAGGACACAGCAAGGCAGATACAGCCAAGAACAGAATTTGAGGGTGAGGGAGGGACAAGATATCTGAAGGTCATTCTGAGGTATATATAACGTATGTACTCTACTGTTGTGTACAGTCTTGGGGCCATGCTTTGCCCACAGTTATGTGTGCACACATCTCATTCCAGTCAGTGAGAGTGGCAAGCTCACATCTGAAAGAATATATCTGGCTTTGAGGGCATACAGGAGCACATTGGACAACAAAGCCAGAAGCAGAACAGGGAGAGAGCTGGAGACAAGGAAACCTGGACTGGGCTGAGAAAAGGAAGAAGTGATGGACAGCCCCAGAGTTATCTGGCCAGCCAGTTCAGCCCTGTTTGGACAACCAGCAGCACAAAGCTTCTGTTCTGAAGGACTTCTGGAGTGCAAAGCTTTCCATCGAGACAATCTTTATCAGACAACAGGGAAAACCATGCACAAAATGACTAGAGGCATGTTAACAGAAGAAATATGATGGAACTGGCCCTACGCCATTCAGTTCTTAATTTTGAAGGAAAACCCAATCCTGCCTCTGAAGTGGTCTAAGCCAACATATGAATCTGGTCAGTCTCGGCTGATATAGGCAGAGGAGGGAACCATTGCTTCGGTGGCCAGCAAGGCAAAGAGTGGCATTTCTACTACAATATTCAGAGTTGGTGTGGCTGCTTTGAGAAACAATATCACACCAGGCTTGCAAAGCAGTCAAATGTATTGGCTTTTTGCAGAACAATTTCACTTTCAATCAATGTACATATTATATAGTTTTACAGATGAAAAACACCTTTCACTGCTAGAAAGACACTGTTTTGATATCAAATGCACTTGCCATCTGATTTTGCTAAGAACCCACCCCCAGACAATAAAAAAAACAAATCTAAAATAAAATCTATAATACAAAACAACATTCATGTTGATGTCAAATGATAACTGTCCCAGCAAACATGAAATAAAGATCTTCTTAATGCAGGTCCCCTGGGAAACGAGTAAGAGTCATGCGTCCGTATATAGAGTCCACTCCCAATCTGGGAAACCTCAGTAAGACTGTTGCCCTTTGAAATGCAAGTCCCATTTTTTAAAGGAGTGCTACACACATGCATGCACACATACGCACAGACACACAGATACACACACGCATACACATAAACTCCTCTCTCGTAGCAAGAGCTGCATGCTGGGTAATGCCTTCTGTGCATTTTTGACCTACTTTCTTTGTAAGGATGAGGTTGAAATTTCTTTACTTCTCAGGTCTCTATTCTTTAAACAAAAAGGGGAATGAAGAGAAACTACATTACAAAGACAGAGAAATGCACTCGTATCTCAGGCATATGATTTTTCCCAGTCATTTACAAGGACGATGTTATTTACATTCATGATTCAGCAGAATCTGCAGGAAGAGTTAGCCTTTCTCCATGTTGGGTTTTCTTGATGAACCCTGTGAGCCCATTCTGTGCTTCCACAGACCATTTTTCTTGTAAGGCACTACATGTGGATGATGACTTCAGACAGAAGTGCAAGCCCCCTTCATTGGATTGTGCATTTCTCCCTCTCCCTTGACTGACCTTCCCTGAGAACTTTTGATTTGATGTACTTCAGATCACTGTTGACGCTTGGCCGGCGAGCAAAGGGAGAGATCATGCCGTAGGCGTCCATGTCCTTGACTCTGCGCATCCGGAAGGATTTCTGTTGGAAGGTGTCACCATACTGGATGGAGATTTTCCTGTGGAGAGCTGGGCTCATCTCATGAGGTAGCTTGGCCATGCTGAAGAGGACATAGAACATCTCATCCACATTGGTGTTCTTCTTGGCTGAAACTTCGAAATAAGCGCAGTTTTCATCACTGGAGACAAGGTTCTCACCTTCATCTGAGCGTACCTTGCGGAAGATTTCACTGTGGTCATTTTTGTTGCCACAGATCACCATGGGGAGGTCAGCTGATTCCTTGGTCTTGTTCTTCAGGCAGGATTTGACCTCAAGGATCTGTTTCTGGAGCCTCTTGACTTCATCAAAGGATTCTCTGTTGTCCAAGCTGAATACCAGGATGAAAACATCCCCTGCAATTAAAAAAGGCTACTGTAAAAGCTTGTTGGTTGCAACCTGTGTCAGAGGAGCAAATTTTCAAAAAGCAGTATGTTTATTTGCCATCTCTTCACCATATTTTTTTTTTTTTTTTTTTGTCATTTTGAATCTGTTCATTAAGCTGTACTTTAGTTCTAATTCTTCTAATTCAACTCCCCACTCCTTTCTGTAGTGCTATGGAAAAGACTTTTAGCTATGATGTTACTTCAGCCATATCCAATTGTGTGTTCCTAGGTTGCACTGTACTTGCACATTATCATCCATTTGTACTCTCTTTTGTAAACATGTTTCTATCTCAGCTCTGCTGCATTGCTTATCTTTTTTTGTCCTTTTGTTTGTATCTCTGTGTAAAACAGAGCCTGTTCTGACACCAGGAAGAATGGAGAGCTAGTAGCCACTCAGCCTTGGCCTTTTGATTATACAATACGAGAAGCAACACCTGAACTGAAGAAATACAGCTAGTCAGCCCCAAACGCCTAAGTCCGGAATGAGAGGTTTCCCAATGTGCATTGCTCTTCTGTCATTTCATTTGCTCAAGAGAAACAGACCATGGAAAAAAAGAAATACATAAATGACACAGATCGCCTGGAATTTCCTTTTGACATTTCCTGACTTTTACAATTCGTTTTGCAAAATATAAAATAATGCAAATCATTGCCTGTTGAATGACATTCATATGGAAGGTGCTAAGAGAACTTTCAAGGACAAAAGCTCACTCTGCCTCCCAGAAACTGGCCCTAGGACCTGACTGAACGTGAATGCTAGCCTGGTCAGATACAAATGTCACGTTTCACTGGCTAGCTAGAAAGGTAGATAGGAAATACAGAAAGTAGATTTGTTGTGAGCTGTGGCTGATTATATTTCCACTGTCACTTTCACAGTGAATACATCTTAGCTCACAACAGGACCTGCTTGACAATGAGAACATACAAAATGAGCCCAACATTTTCCCTTTTTTCTCTTTAATTAATTTGATTAACCATAGACTAAGGAGAATGGGTAAAAGTAGAGCTGTCCTTTTACTGGAATATCAAATCAAGGGAATCAGGCTGGAAATTTTAGGAAAAAAAATATCTTTGAGATTTCCTTGGTTTGAATTCTCTTCCTGTGCATTTTACATTTGTTTTTCACTGCTTGTGTCTTATAATGACATGCTTATTTTGTCCCTTGCTGCTCTTTATGCCCATGCGATTTTATTCAGCCACTCATTTGTGACTGCAATAAAAAATATGGAGCAGGTGGAGAATGTAGGAGGGAAATAAACTAGGCAGAAATCTCAATTTCAGACCTTCACCCAGTGGACTTCTCCTCTGTGGCTAATGCACTCCCTGTAGTGCCTGGAGCATCCTGGCCAGGAAATATGTCTCTAGAGAAGTGCATCTTGTCACAAAATCAAGCAGCCCCTTTAGCTACCTCCCAAGATACAGTCATCTCCTGGCTACAGTTTTCAAGCTAATGTCTATCGTTATGATCATTCACCCACCATTACCCATATGCAAAATCCCCCCCACTTCTCACCTGTCAGGATGGAAAGCCTCCTCATAGCTGGGAAAGGGTGATTCCCGGAGGTGTCCAGGATGTCCAGCTGATACATGTCTCCCCGGATGTTGTAGACCTTGCGATGAAAATCCTCAATGGTGGGAGTGTACTGGTCCTCAAACCGGCCATTGAGAAAGCGTGAGACAATGGAGCTTTTCCCCACCCTGGAGGCTCCCAGCACTACCATGCGGTACGAGTTCTTGGCTGGCACATTCAGGGTGCAGTTTCCACCAGACATGGTCTTCATCATTGCTTGGTCCTGAAAGAGGAAATTGCAGAGTTGAAGGAAAGACCAGAAACTAGATGGAGGATGGACTAGGGCAGCTCCTTACCACAAGCTTGTCAAAGAGTGCTCTGGACCACAGTCTTGGTTAGTAGAGCAATGGTTCATACAGAAATCTTTTCATTAGAAATGCTTAATTTTTTCAGTCTCATTTCCAGGGAATGGGGGTTTCCTTTGTTTTATTTTGTTTCTTTTCTTTTAAAATCATATGAAAATGAAGGCATTTACACTGAAAATAGTATGGTTTTGAATTATAATTTGCTATTTTGTTTAAACATTAAGGGCTAATTTTATCAGCTGTTCAACCTAGATACCAGGTTCCTTCCCACCACCTGCGTCACTTAGACATTACCAGATTTTTCAGTAGAGTTTGGTCCTCATTTAGGTACATAAACACAGAGGTCAGATTTCCCAATATACTGCATCCACTGCAGCTGCCATTAGGACCTAGACTGCTTTGTTTGGTTGCTTAAATAGGAGCTGCACTCAATACTCATTTGAGATCAACCAAAAGTCAGACAGAAACAAGAGTCATGCTTGACATCAGTGGAATCTAGACATCTAAGTGACTTTAAATAGTTGGTCCCATACAACCTTCATTGCTGATGCAGGGAGTTTGAGCCACAAAATAGCATTGGCCGATGATAAATTTTAAGATCTGTGCCTTCAGTGACCTTTTAGAAACCAGATTTTAATCTTGTTCTTTGGACTGGTAGTGTGGGAACTCCCTGTCAACAAATTATCAGAATTGCTGCAGGATGGCTGGCAATGGATGAACCTGCAGAATTGTAGATTTCATAGGAGTTTCAGTCTTTATACATACACAGCTGTTGTGGGTGTCACAGTCTTTGCAGGTGCTAAGGAAGATGAAGGACAGCCATCTTAAATAGCTATTAGACAAGATTTCCAGCCCCTGACAACTAAAATGAGTCTCGAGACCTTGGAGGTCGCATTCTGACATAGCACTCAGATGCAGAAAACTTAGATAGGGAAAAAAAAAAAGAGGGTTGCTCAGACATTTTTCATGTATCAGTTCAAATGAACTGTGTGCTGAAAGGAAAAATATAACCCCTGTGTGGGGAAAGCTAACCATTAAAGCAAAGAAGGCTCATTTTTGACAGTTTATTTTGGTTACTAGGATCTTATTAAAGAATAATCAAGTTCCCACTGTGCTGTTTATTTAACTTAGGTGTTGTTTATTTATTATGTGAGTACTTTATGTACTCTGAAAGATCATTTCTGGGTCCAGATCTGGATTCCTATCTTTCCCTCGAGTGAATTTTATCTCCCAAGCTTTTATGTAGATGACACTTATCTCAGTCAAAAGCTTAAAATCTTTTACTTTGTTTAACATGTGTTAAGCACCAAAACAGCAGTGAAGATATGGTCACTGCTAAATAAAGAAGTCTCTGGAATTCTGACCCAGCATCATTATAAGCACTGTGCTATAGCCCAAGGCAACAGCAAAACATTACTATTTATTATTATTGCTATAATTTGCTGCACACCAACAGCACATTCAGCCCTATCTAAAGCACAGAAGAAAATGCAATGTTTTCCTCAGAGGAGCTTACACTCTGAATTATATTCAGCAGGCAGGACAGCATAATATTAGAGGCAGACAGTAATGTCAGAACATAACTTTGGATGGACACACACATGTGGAGTTCATGGTACTGTTGAGATTGCTGTGGTGGAAATGACAGAAAGGACCACACCAGGTATTTGGATTTGACTCTGTGTTTTTAGAACAGGAACCGTCTCCAACAGTGCAGAAACACCAAATGCAATCTCTGAAACAACACTGTCACGCACTCTGGGTCAGCCCTTTCCTATATAGCCAGTCAATGCTGTCTTGCATCCACGGGCAGACAGTAATGACAGAGCTGCTTTGGGATGCCTTCTTTCACCCTTTCAGGCTTTATTTAGCTGACAGAGAAAAGCAGGGAGATAGATTTTGTGATAAAAACTAAAACCTTCTTTACAGCCCAGGTTCAGTATTTAAAAATGAGTCAACTCTTCGGACTGGGATGGACCAGTGTAGCTGTGTGAGGGCAAGTGGACTGTGTTGGTTCACACCTGCTGAAGATCAGTTTTGTACCACTTGGTGCTGCAGCGTCCGGAGCGAGCACAGTTACACTTTTTAGGCAAGTGCCTTATATGTCCCGTGCAGAACGTGCACACTGGGGGACCTGATCCCAGCCAGCAACTCTACATGCCAAAATCCTACAAATTATACTGCTGACTGACAGTTAACCACTGAGCTGCTGGTGATTAGAGAAACTCCCATCACACAGCAAAGGAGGTGGACTGTGTCACTCCAGCTGCTTGGAGGGTTATTTTTACAGCGAGGCACTTCTGTCCTCCACCTTAAAATGAATTCTGCTGCTTTGGACCTCAGTTAATGCCAATGTACACTGAACAGCTTGGAGAAGGGATTGCTGCCATAGCTACATGCAGGTGGGGAGAGCAAGGCACAGGGAAGCTGGGTGACCACCCAAGGTCAAACAAATAGGAAGAGTGAATGGACTCCGGGACTCCTACCTTTCAAACTCTTTCTTCTTCCCACCTTTCCTCACCCTTGCATTTCTGGTCATTAAACCACACTGCCTCCCACCCCCATCAAAGGCAAAATCCTATCTGCACACACTTGCCCATTTCAGGATGCTTTGCCCAAAGGATTTAGATGTGCTGAAGGGGAAGAAGTGTGAGAACATGTAGATTTTAAAGTATTAAATAATCACTTTATGATGTCTTTGTTCCACCTGTCAAGGCATTCAGTCAGGAGGACTCTTGTGCTTTCCTGACTGCATTTCATTTCACATGAAGTCAAAAGATGCTTTTCAGCACTTTGATTCATGGAGTTGCTATTCATCTCATCACCTCTTCTGCAAATCTGACTCAGAGCGTGCCATTGAACCAGGAGCTTATATTTGTGTTTTTCACTCTCTCTTCTTATCCCCCTGCTCCAGTTTTTCTCCAGTTCAATAAGATCTATCTTATTTCCTCCTCAGAAAAGGAATGAAACTTCAGCCCTCACACCCAGGGGTGGGGGATAGCACAGGGACTCATACATTGAAAAAGATTAAAGGCAGAAGAAAGGAAACAGAAAGAGACCACATGTTCATGTACTAAATAAAGCAAAATCAATCAGAAGAGAATGAGGAGACAAACAACCTCCAGATGGCTTTAATCTACATCTTTTCCTTCCAGTTTATTAAATGCTTAAGCATAGATTAATTCCCAGTTGTACCTTCTGCTTTATGCACTGGCTTGATGCTAGAAACTTTACATTAGTATTTTATATTGGTACAGCACAGGGATTTCAAAATGTCATAGAAATGTAGGCAATGAGTGTTATATCCACTTAATAAAGGGAAAGGCTCATATGCCCAGAGAGAGCTGAAACAGCTGTCCAAAATCAACATTAAACCCCATTTCTTTTGACTCCCTCTGTCATCTTCTACCTGCTAACCACCGCTGCTTGTTTCATAGGCAGACAGCAGAGTGAATGACAATGCACCTGCTTTTGCATGCTCTGAAGAGTACTTGTCTGAATTCTAGTGAGGTGCTGACAAATTTGATCCTGGGCATCTGGAGAGAGATACCTAAAGAAGACATTCTTCATTCAACCTGCCTAGAGCTTTTACAGTTTAGGTTTCCATCCTCCCATCAGGGTGTATGCTCCCTACCACTCCCTATCCATGAACAGACTTCTGAACTACGTGTCTCGCACTCCACAGTCTCCAGCTGCTGCTTGTGTCTCTGTTTGCCATCCCAGTGTAATTCACTAAAAAGGACATAGGCAGACACAAACTGTACCATGCATAACAGACCTGTCACTTGTTAATCACTGCTAGTATCCCCGTAATTTTCATGCACACCATGATCAATCCTGTGGGATGTTTCTTTCCTACTTTCATCCCAAATTCCATGCTACTTTCTTACCTCTCTTTCCTTGAAGGAGCAGTCCTGGGTCTTGATGCAGTCTGATGAAGCTGATAATTTTAATCAGAGGCGGCTGCTGCTGTAAAATGCTGTTGTTCTGTGGTTCCCACGTTACTTGCTCTGGGCTCAGTTCTTCACCAGTATTTCCTGGGAACTTAGCAGGATTGGGAAGGACTGTAGGGCTCCAGAGGGCTTTCCCCCATGGATGGTAAGTACTGGATCAGGCGACCGACATTGGCTAAAGAAGGGTCTCGGAACCAGCAGTAGCTTTTCCCTTTGGGGAGATGAGTTCTTCTCCTCACAGCCTCAGTTTGAAAGAAGGAGAGGCAGAGTTTCTCCCACTCCCACTGGCTTTTCTTGCAAGTTGTGCTTCGTAGCCTCTGCTGGGGGGAAAGGGTCTCTGGAGTGACACCTAGTCGAGCAGGGTCGTGGGTGCATCCGGCTGGCCCACCCTGCCTCTGCGCCGCCTCAGACCCTATGGGGAAAAAATCAGTGGGGGCATGGAAGTTGTCTATGGTGAACCTACGCTTCCCCAGGTCTTGCCTGGCACAACACCCCCCCACAAGCTTCTTTTCTTCTGGTCTGAGATTTGCTTTAAAATATTCACTGTCTAGGACAGAAGGGGCTTTTCTTTACATTTGCCAATTAAGTCTTTCTTCTTCCCTCCCTGCCTTTCTCCCTCTCGCTCTCACAACTACTGGCAAATTGCAGATTTTCCTTCTGTAGGACTCACAGATAATTGGCTCAACTCCTCCCTTGAAGTCAGTGTCAGACACAGGGGAAGGAGGGGTGCTGAGGGGGTGGGATTTTGTGCCTATTGAAAAAATCTTTTCTTCTCTAAACAGAAAGTTCTTATGCATTGCAGACTGCACATTCCCCATCTTTCCACCAGAGACCTGTATGTATGCATGCGTGGGGAATGAGTTAGCGTATGTGTACGAGAGACACAGACTTCACTTACTTTGCAAGCTGTAAATTCATAAGCCGTTTCTAAAGGCTCTATATTTCCGTGCTGATCTTTTCTGCTAGACAGAAGTGGACTGACTCATTTCCCAAGTAGGGCTTTCTGTCCATAATTCCTGTAATTCTTTTGCCGTATGCAATACTTTCTCCTGTTCCCTCAACCTGGAAGACATTATGTTAGGATTGCTGGTTGGTTTGATTAAGAAATAAGAATAATGCATAACTGCTGTTCTTTCATTAATATTTAAATAAATGAAAAACTAAACTAGGGCTGAGTAATAAAAGTGTAGAAAAAAGGTCAAACAAACTGAAAGTGTGGGGAACTGAGGGTCAGAAAAAGAAGAGAAACAAAGAAAAATTAGGGTGAATTCAGAGTTTCTTCAACCACAAGTGAAAAATCATGTTTACGGTTTTTTTTACTGTTTGTTGACTCTATTTTTTCCTCCTTTTTGAGCTGAAGTAATAGTTTAGATCTACAAGTCTATATTAAAAGATGTCAAAGAGATTGATTTTGAAAGATTTGAAATTAAGTATTTCAGCATTTCCCACTTAAACTCCTAATCAGAGGGGGAAAAATAGAGGAAGAAAAACACTTTGATATTTTCAAGATATTTTGACAATAGGAAAACAGAAGGGAGGCACGATCTCCCAAATCCGAATACAGTTTCAGGTCTCTCACAATACTCCCCCTTTTACTTTGAGCAAATTTACTCTTCATTGAGCAGAAAGATTCCTCCAACTACCTTGTCTGTTTCATCTCCACACACCCCCCTCAATAATTTCTGCTGATTTTGAGGAATTCCTGAGATGTTTTGCTTTTTTTTTTTTTTTTTGCCTCCTCCTCCTCATACACAAGGAGGTTTCTGTTGTCACCCTCAGATGAATGCTTCCCTCCTTCACCGGTGCTCCCGGCGCTGTGCAGCAGCTGTCCACAGCCGTTGAGGTGGGGTCCGTGGCTGTTGCAGGCACATGGTCTGACGTCTGAACGTCTCTCCGTGCCAACAGGCTTTGAAGACCATGACAAAGGCTATGAGATGGGTCCTGCTGTAACCATCTGCGAGAGGCAATGGCTAAGGTCAGGCCTGAGCAGGAGGTGGATTTGGGGCTCCCAGGCTAACACAAAGGCAAAACACCATTGTTCGAATTTGGGAAGCAGCAGCTCCTGCACACAACTTTAGATTTGGGAAGGAAGGGCACGGCTTGACACAGCACCATTGAGACACTGCAGTAGTAGTGAACTGGTAATGGGTCAAGACCTGAACTGAGCTCTTTTTAGACCACAAGAGCAGGAGTCCTTTTTCAGCTCCTGAGCCTTTTCTCTTTGGCAAAAAGTACAGGAGTATTTTTATGGCTCAGACAAATTTTTGATATAAGATGATGATGCTAAGTCATAGGTTCAGAGCAACCTAGACCAAAAGCTGCCATCTTTGGTGTCTGGTGAACTATTTGTGTAGGTTAGATCCAAACAGAGCAACCAGCATCCTGGTATCATTGCCATGGGAGTAATTGCTGCAAAAAATCAGCAAAGAAGTCAAGTTCTGTAGTGGTACAGAGAATAAACTCCTCTTTCATCCCTATAGCTCACATGTTGAGTGTATGTGTTCTCTGCTAAAACAGAGAGAAGCGTAGTCATCATGGAGACCATCTCATCAGCCTGGAATCTCAGCCTACTCAAGCTCTTTTGTAAACCAAATGCGAAACTCTTGCCTAGCTGGCTTCACCCAGCTCAAACTCCCACTCAGCTGTCTTCTCCAGCATTTAAACTAGCCAGTCGAGTTCCTCAAATTATATCAAAATAAAATAGTAACATACTTGACTAGGCACCTTGGCTTTATTTGATCTCTTAGCAAACAGCTAATAAAATAATAAATTACTTTTGAAGTAAGCCTTTGAAAGATAATTGCTAACTTTGAGCCTTCAAAGGCTCGAGAGATGCTGCTGCAGCTTTTTGGGTGTGGGGTTTTTTTTTTTTCCCCTTCATTTTTTTTCTGGTGTACTTCCAGTTCAGGAGTTAACATAAAGCTGGGCTTTCATGCCTTCCTTCAGGGCTCAGGAGACCAGAGCTCAAAATTCCCTGCTTTTCCAATGACATCCTGAGGGGCTCTGGTGGAGGTCACCTTAATTCTGTATATCTGATCCATCTGAGAAGCAGGGATGGTAACACTTCTTTGCTTTTAGGGTTATAAAGGGAGTAAGTGGATCAGAGACAAAGCCACTGACAAAACAAGAAAAAAAGTTCCCAGTCTCAGCAGTTTCCTCTGGTTAGTCAAAGACCATCAGCCTTTCTTAGAGCTTACAGATATTTACCAATTTAAAAGCCAGGCTTACAATGAATTACTCTCCAGAGGCATTTCTTCCTCCTACTTCTCTAGTCTATAAAGAAAGCCTAAATGAGTTTTTTATCTGGCTAAGGCTGCCTCTGAGGACGACAGGCTGTGGCTGCAGAGAACCGCCACTGCTATGAAGGGCTGTGTCTGCCTGCCTGGGTGACACTGGCCACGGCTTGTGGTGCAGTCTCTTGTCTCGGTGTGAGAGACAAGAGGAACAGGACGTGTGGCAGATGATGTTATATCAACTGAACAACATGGTTTCTATAGGACTAACTGAAGGCAAATGACTTCATTGGCACAGGGGCTCATCAGCACATAAAGCCGTCATCTCTGAGGCTGGTGTGCGGGTCTTGCCGGCTCATCCGTGGGGCTGCCTCAGCTGTGGAAGATGCTGCAGATGGTGCAGCTGTGGCCAGTAGACAAGACAGCTGTGCTTATTTGGGCTCTGCCTAGACCCTGGGTGAGCAGAGAGGGAGGACTTGAAGGGGCAATGCAAGGGAAGGGGAAGAGAAATGTTGCAGGAAGAGTCTGTATAGGAAGATGTACACAGGAATGGGGAGAGACAACACAAAAATACTGCTGTCATGTGTGCAATAGCCACCTGACTCCAAACAGCAGTGAAGATCTGAAGTGACTTGCTTTACGGTGGGACACATGAGCAAGCAACTGCTCCTCAGACCCATCAGAGAAGCTTCCTCCTCTCTGAAGAAAGGTGCAGCTCTGAGGTGGCACACACACTGACCACCCTAGTGCCAAGATCTTGCGCAGCATGGGCTCATGGGGCAGAGGTGTCACTGTCACAAGTAATTTATACCTTATGCAGCTGCAGGTACTATCTGTGGCTGGAGATGAAGACTGATGTGATGGGCTGATGCAGCAGGACCAATCTGTTTTTCTCCACCTTAAGGCAAATGACAGAAGTGACAATGGCATGCCATTCAGCTCTGGCCAGAATTAGTTCAAGACAAAAGATGTTCCAAGGCTTTTGTCTCCTCTTCAAAAGCAAATGCAACAGAGATTAAATATTTAAACCAGCTTTTTTCTCTCTTTCCCCATTCATTTTCACTCCCCTCATTATTCAGTAAAGCAGGCTCATTTTTCCACCCCCTCACCTACCCTCCCTCCCTCCCACATTCATTTCTCCTGCTTGGTGCCCCTCCCTTCAAGCAATGCTGAAAAGTTAGTGTTCAGGAGTCAGTAAACTGCAGGTACCAAATCATATTCTAAGCAGCAAGTAGATGAGCAGCCACAAGTATTACTGCCCCTGCATTACCTGTACCTCCGGGGCGTTTAAACTCAGTGAAGGCTTCTCCAGGGGTGTTACAGTGACTGGGAAAATAAGTAATGATCATCAGTTACGAGTGAGAACTGTGATACTTGGGAGAATACAGCTGGAGAAGGCATATGTTTGAGAAAACGCTTGTCTGGCTTACATTCCTGGTCCTGTCACAGAATTTGTCTATGCCTGTAATTTCTCAGTGTCCCAGGGTGGAAAATGGGGTAATAATATTTACTGAGATCCCTGCAAAGTGGAAAAGCATTGCTTTGCTGTGAAAAATGTCTGTCACCTCTTATTTGCTGTATTTGCTGTGAATAATTTTTTTAATTACATTTTTATGAAATATTTTTGAGAAAAACTGCATTTCTAGTCCCTCTCCTTTCCTTTTGCCACTGACACATCATGTCCAGATTTCTTCACCAGACACACACGCACCCTTTCATTTTCATTCCACTGTTGAAACTTTTTAAAACTTCCCCCATCTTTAAAAAATTACTAAGAAGCAACATTAAAGCTTAAAACCCCCTGTTATTCAAAAAAGCTTCAGAGTAG